ACATAAAGCCTTCCACATCAGGAATAATACCAATAGCGGCATGATATGAGACAGGAGCTACGTGGAGCAGTAGATAGAGCCTTGGCCTGGAATCAGGAAGACCTGAGTTCAAATCCAGTCTCAGGCACTCATTAGCTGGGTGACTCTAGGGCAGGGGTGGGGAACCTGAGACCTCGAGGCCACTTATGGACCTCTAGGTCCTCAAGCGCATCAGTGGCCTTTTGACTGAATCCAAATTTCACAGAACAAATCTCCTTAATAAAAGGATTTGTTCTGTAAGACTAGGACTCAGTCAAAAGGACACATCCAAGGACCTAGAAGTCCACATGTGGCCTTGAGGCTGCAAGATTCCCTACTCCTCCCCTGGGCAGCTTTCTCAACTATGTTGTTGCTCAGTTGGGTTTGGTTTTGGTTTGGTTTTTTTTGTTTGTTTGTTTGTTTGTTTGGGGTTTGGTTTTTTTTTTTTGTTTGTTTGTTTGTTTGGGTTTTTGGTTTGGTTTGTTTGGTTTTGGTGAGGCAATTGGGGTTAAATGACTTGTCCAGAGTCACACAGCTAGTAAGTGTTATGTGTCTCAGGCTGGATTTGAACTCAGGTCCTCCTGACTCCAGGGCCAGTGCTCTATCCACTGCGCTATCTAGCTCCCCTTGGTTTTTTGTGTGTTTGTTTTTTTCAGTCCTGTCCAACTCTTTGTGACACCATTTTGGGTTTTCTTGGCAAAGATTCTGGAGTGGTTTGCCATTTCCTTCTCCAGCTCATTTTTACAGGTGAGGAAACTGAAGCAATTGGAAGTTTAGCGGCTTGCCCAGGGTCATACAGCTAGCAAGTATCTGAGGCCAGATTTGAACTCAGGAAGATGAGTCTTTCTTACTTCAAGCCTGATACTCTATGATACACTATGGCACCACCTAGCAATAGTAAAAATGGGTCAATAATAGGACCCACCTCACAGGGTTGTTATGAGGAGCAGCTGCTTAGCACAGTGCTTGGCACATAATAAGTGCTGTGTGAAGGCTTATCCTCTTTCTTATAGGATCATGGATTTAGAGCAGGAGAAGACCTTAGAAGCATCTAGTTCAACTGCTTCATTTTATATTTGAGGAAACTGAGGCCCAGAGAGATCAAGTGATTTGTCTAATATCACACAAGGAATAAGTGGCAGAGGTCTGAACCCAGGCTCTTTGACCCCAAATCCAACACTCTTTCCACTTGACCAAACTACATAGCATAAATCACACTAAATTTCAGGAATCCTAGGTAGCTTGGCTACTTACTACCTATACTATTTTGGCCAAGTCATTTAACCTGTCTGGGCCTCAGTTGCCTCATTTGTAAAATGGAGACACTGGAGGAGATGGTCTCTAAGGTCCTGCCACCTCTAAAGCCCTTAGACAGATCCCTTCACCACTTAGAGAACTTTCCTAATAACATCCATATGGAGTAGACAGAAGAAGGATCATTGTACCCATTTTAGAAGGATGAAAATTGAGGCCCAGAGAGGTGAAGTCTTGCATAGATCACACAATAGATATTAAAGCCAGACCCAGGTCCCCTGGACACCCCCCTCTCCCAGTGCCGCCCTTTCTCTCTCACACTATCCTGCCTCTCAGTGGGTAGTAGGGAGAACAGTGAAAAAATAGAAACTTCACAGCCACCTGCAAGTTGAGGAGTTTTGTCCTTGGTGCTCAACAGAGCTAAGAGACAATTTCTAATTTAGTTGGAAATTTTCCAATTTTCCCAAAAAGCCAAAATCTGGGAATTTTTGGTTTCTATTTTTTTCTTTTGTTTGTCCTCCTGACCTTGTTAAAGATGTGAAAGGGGTGAGAAAACTAATAAAGTGCCATTAATTGCTTTACCATTAGTAGATAACCATCTGTTTTCAGTTGGGAAGGGAGTGGCATTTAAATCATCTTACTTAACTGATGGCTTTAGGGCCGATTAGCACCTCAAAGCAACTGATGGCAAAGAGATAAATCCTGCTGGTAGGTACTTCGGATTCCCAAGACTCTTTCTTAAATTATTTTTTTAATTAACAAAAATCTATTTTCTCTCTCTTCCATCTCTTCCCCATGGAAAAGAAAGGAAGCAATGAAGGAAGAAAGGAAGGAAGGAAGGAAGGAAGGAAGGAAGGAAGGAAG